CTTGTTATATTAGCTCAAGGTTGTTTACAGGTGTTTCATTCTATTACCTTCATACTGCTTATGCTTTAAGCTTCTCTGCTCTAATTCGGAATACTAGCAGGGAGTTCAATACTATCTTAACCTGAGGAGATTTATGGTTCTTATTACTTTTCATTCGTTCCCTTTTTTGGAAATCCATTCAATTCCATCTTTTTCATTATTACAGCTTGTTTATCTAGGCTTTTCTCATAAAGCGCCTCTCCTCTAAGAGTATGCTCTGCAGTGATGACTGGTACTTCTACATTTATTTCAACTTTACCAGCCATTGAAGATGAATTGCCAATACTGTCTGTAGCACGGTAAAACTGCAAAACAATAAAGTCCCCTTAAAATAAAAATAATAATGATGGGGCCTAGTGCGTGACAGGTAGCCTGATTCAATTGTGTTAAGAGACCCTAAAATGTGGCTAGCAGGCTATAATGTAATCATATAGGGGGCCTTTGTATACTGGTTAGTGCAAGTGGACTCTGACATGGTTCATTCACAAGTTTGGCCAAGCACAACTATGGCTGCTCAGAGACTTGTCTTTCTTCTCATAAGTTGCTCATGTGTACAAAAAAATTCCAGTTTTCTTCTTTATCTCTCAAAAGTGGGAAAGGATAAAAACGCCTGTTGGCTTTTTAAAGCCTAAGTTTACTTACGAAGAAAGTACAAAATAAACACAGGGACATTACTTACCTTCAGTGTAATGTGTTCCTTCTGCTTCAGTCTTCTAGTTCAGCAATAACTAAAAAAAAAGAAAAAAAGAATAAACTGCGGTTATGTGATAAAAATGTGCAAATATTTCTGGAGAGATATATTGCCATCTTAATGGTACCCAAAAGCTTGAGATGGGATGTACGTCCCCAAAAAGGGGAATTAGAATTGGAGGAGTGGTTTAAGAATTTCAATGAAGCAGGGGTGGGTTTCCTTGAGCTCCTTGTCCAAAGGAAAACCAGCAAACTGAACCGTCTGGGTGAGGAAATTAAGATCAAGTATAAATTATCCCCATATAAGGTGTTAAGAATATAAGGAGTGTTCAGCCAATTTAAAGAAAATTTTAGAGAAAGAGGAGAGTGAACAAAAGATTAAGAAGAGAAAGATTTACAATAGCGGTATTGGTGATGACCAAACGGGTATTGTGTTCGACTGGCAGAATAAATTGGCTCTTGAAGAGGAAAATGATCAAATGACACAATATAACATTAAGAGACCATTAGAAGAAGGCACTAGTAAGGATGATAGTATTAAGGCTGCAACAAATTTGCATCCTAATACACCAGTGATTCGCCCATTTAAAGAGAGGAGAGTCCCTCTCTCTTAGATTTCCTGAGTGGGACACTAGAAACTATAGGCCCCCCATTTGAGGGATCCACCAAGGGGATCATCCTGTGGATCTTCTTTTGATGGAAAGGGCTCTAGAAACAATAGACCTTCTTACTCTCAGGGGAGAGATTTCTCTCTGTATAGATCCTCTTATGAAAGATTGGGAAACAAATTGGGAAACAAATTCAGAGGTTCTGGTTTGGATTCTTACTGTGGGAATAATGGGTGCCATTATCGTGATCCCAAATTTGGTAACAATGGAAATCAATACCACAGTCAAAGATCTACAATGTCCCTGTTCACAATAGGTTCCATCATGTACATAATTGGACACTGTCACGACCCGCGGTCGCCGCCACCAACAGGCGACAATCGCGCAGCCGCGACTAACAGTATTAGGTCACGCCCACGGCGTCAGACCCCAGACCTTCTCACCAAACTCGTGACCGAAGGGCCGGCCGATCCAAAACCGCGGTGTGATGCGCGCATAACAAGGCCCCACCCAGCTGCACCCTACACAGCGATTGCCCAGCTAATGGACTACAATCGGTGCCTGCAGCCTGAATGCGCTTGTTACTGGGTCGGGTTAGTTACGCAACTAACCCTCTACTGCCACCACCACTTTTGTCGGAGACTGGGAAACTCCCGTTACCAAATATACACTATAATGATTGAAATATTGATCTATATAGCACGGCCCGCGGACCTGTTATACAGAAATATAACCACAGTAGCGTCTCTTCAAAGGCAGGGATTCGTGAATTGCAAGTAAGCGCTTAGAAACAGTTTAACACTTTCAGAAAGAAAGATTTATTACTAAAAGCGTTGGATGCAAAATAAATATGTACAAAGAGATATCACAAAAATATATATATATGTATATATAAAGACACAGCAAACATAGAATAGCGAGGAAATTACAGGGTAAGTTACTTGCCTTGCCTGGTTTTAGCAAATTCAAGATGCAGAGCAGAAAGGTTCTTTGATCTCCCCTTGTTACGATGTTGCTGGGAGATCCTGTGTGTGTGTGTGTGTGAGACTAACGCACTTACTCTCTTAAAGGTTCCTCTCAGGGGCAGGGAGGGGGCTCTGACTACACGTTTTGGGAGTAGTCATTGGGAAACTCTAAACTAACTACAACTCATCCCCCATGATATGAAACATACAGTGCAGTTTTCTTATCTTGATTAAGATGGGGGAGGAAATACACTTACAACCTTTATGACTGCAGGACGCAGGATGTCTTAACCTGGTTGACCCCCCACACCATCTGCCAGAAGATAACGTTTGCCTCACAGGAATGCAGGGGGGATGTGAGGAGTGATTTGAGAAATGCCTCAGATAAACAGATAGAAAACGAAAACGAGGGTTGAGGGGGAACTCCGCTCCAATTCTGATGAGCAAGTTTGCCACAGACACCCTCTCAGAAAAATCACCACCAAAACACTTATCAGGGGGGACAGTCAGGTCATCGGGTTAGAATCGTTCCCCAAACATATGGTAATGACTAGAGACGACAATAAAACTGAGATTTTCCCCGTTCGAAACACAGGACAGAATGGTCTGTGGAACAAGAGAGGAACTAGAAGGGGGAGGAGAATTCAGGCAAAAAAGTATAAGAATGTGAAGGGTCAAGGAATTTTTAGTTTGAGTAAAAAATAGTTTAACTGAAGCTGAGAAAGTGATTTTGGATATGGGAGTGAAATTTGCCCTTCCATGTAAGCTTAACCTCCTTGGCGGTTTTCCCGAGTGTAGCTCGGGGTAGAATTTCTATACCAAGAACGGTAACCCCGAGCTACACTCGGGCTTACTATGCAGCGTTCTCTGGGGGTCCCTGCAGCACTTACCTTGTCCTTCGCTCCCACGATGTGTCCCCTGCAGCGTCCCCATCCATCTCCTCTGGCGGATGCCGGCATCTGACTTCCGTGTTCCGGTCCCCGTGACGTCGGAACGTTCGGGGGCGCGGAACCGGCGGGAAATTTGAAATTTTTAAAAAATGACATTTTTGCTGTCATTGCTTTTTCACTGCATTTCACATACATTTTGTCCCCACTGCTTTGTCCTGTGCCCTGCCTGCATTTTGACTGTTCTTTCTGCCTGGAAACTTAGAAAAGTCCATGGCGGCCAAAAAGCATCCCTTTACATCAAAAGCGGTTTTAGAACAGCGATAGTAAATCAGAACCACTTGCAGAATTGAGTGATAATGATTGTGTGGGGAAATTCGTCATCAGACACTGAAAACGATTTTGCGACTTTGCTCAGCGATGTGCGAATTTGCCTCTGTATTTCAAATTTCAGTGTTTTTGGTTTGATTATATTATTGAATTAAATTTATTATTATTATATTATTATTTTTTATGATTATTTATTAAATTATAATTTATGATTTCGTGTTTCAAGTTTTATCATATCCGGAATGTTTAATAGACTCTTTTTCGGATAGATTTCAGTGAGTTATTCCTAAAAATTACAGCCTACAATTAAAAACTACATATTTTCATGCAAAAAAATGGTACCGCTTTCAGCACAAAATTCCTGACATGATCATACCGCCAGGGAGGTTAATAAAACTCACACTTATATGGATGTACATAAATATCTGAGGAAACTCAATATTAAAAGATACATTATGTCTAACCCTCTTAAAGAGAAAGGATTGTTTCTATGGATATACAGCGCTCTAATCTCTCCCATGCTTCTTTGTTTAACCACTTGCCTACCAGGCACTTATACCCCCTTCCTTACCAGGCCAATTTTCAGCTTTCAGCGCTGCCGCACTTTGATTGACAATTGCGCGGTCATGCAACATTGTACCCATATGAAATTTTGATCATTTTTTTCTCACAAATAGAGCTTTCTTTTGGTGGTATTTAATCGCCACTGGGCGCTTTACTTTTTGCGCTATAAATTAAAAAAAGTGCAAAAAATTTGAAAAAAAAAAAAAAGTTTATTTGTTTCTTTTATAAAATTTTTCAAACAGGTATTTTTTCTCCTTCACTGATTTGCGTTGATGAGGCGGCACTGATGGGCACTGATAGGCGGCACTGATGGCACTGATAGGCAGCACTAAAGGGCACTGATAGGCAGTACTAATGAGGTGGCACGGATAGGCGGCACTGATAGACAGCACTAATTAGGGGTCACGGATAGGCGGCACTGATATGCAGCACTGATAGGCGGCACTGATAGGTGACACTGATGATGGGTACTGATAGACGGCACTGACTGGCATCACTTCTGGGCACTGACTGGCGGCACTGACTGGCACAACCCCTGGGCACTGACTGGTGGCACTGACTGGCAGCACTGGTGGGTGGCACTGGTGGGTGGCACTGGTGGACAGCACTGGTGGGTGGGCACAGGTGGGTGGCACTGGTGGGCACAGGTGGGTGGCACTGGTGGGCACAGGTGGGTGGGCACAGGTGGGTGGCACTGCTGGGCACATGTAGGTGGCACTGCTGGGCACAGGTAGGTGGCACTGCAGAGTGGCACAGGTGGGGGCACTGCTGGGCACAGGTGGGGGCACTGCTGGGAATGGGTGGGCGGGGCTAGTGGGCGCACAGCTGATCGGAACTTGCGGGGGTCACTGCTGGGCACCGATCATCAGGGCACTGATCATCAGTGCCCTGATGATCGGTGCTGATCCCCGCTCTGACAACTGCCGGTTCTCGGCAGTACTTTCCTCACGATCTGACAGCGTGAGGAAAGTGCAGCCGAGAACCGGCACTTGCATTTTCCTGTGATCAGCGTGTCATTGGACACCGCTGATCACGTGGTAAAAGGCCGGTGGGATCGGCCTTTCACCACATCTCGTGATCAGCTGTGTCCGTAGGACACAGCGATCACGGAGATCGCCGGGTGCGCGCCCCCTGGGGCGCGCAGGAGAGCGCGTTCTGGGAGGACGTCATATGACGTCCACTCAGAACTGGCCGGCCGCGGTGAAGCCGTCATTCGGCTATGCGCGGTCGGCAAGTGGTTAATCCCCCAGGGAGAATAGCTTCCTTGCTGAGTGTATTCAGGGATGTAGTAATAAGAGAATAAGATAAAATTAAAGTTCATATGTTTAAGATGCAGAAAGAATTACAAGTAGGTATAGATCAACTTTGTCGGGAGAAAGAGCTGGCAATCAGACCAGCGGATAAAGGGTGGGGGGGCATTGTGGTTTTAGATAAAGTGATTATATGAAAGAGATGTACCACATTTTGGAAGAATAACATATGTTCCCCTAAGATCAGACCCAGTTTGGTCTTACAAAAGGGATTTAGAGAAAATTGTCAATAGGGGGTTTAAGCGGGGCATTTAGAATTTTTAAAAAAAAAAGCGTTTTTAATTCCTCTGGCTCCACGTACCCCAATTGTGTACCATTTGCCCAGGATACATAAAAACCCAATTTGTCCACCAGGGTGCCCAATTAAAAGTGACAGAGATTCAGTCCTAGGTGGGCAAATACATAGATTTCTATCTTCAACCATTAGTGAAAAAATGCCTTCCTATATAAGATACTAGACATACCACCACTCTTTTAGAAAACTTGGAGTACAAGGAACGCTGTTGGTTGGTCACAGCAGATGTGACATCATTGTATATGATTATACCACATGAACTGGGCCTCTCCTCTGTGGCATATTTTATCAATCAAACATCAGATTTACTTACCTGTCAAAGGAGTTATCTTAAGATTTGCAGCTACACACAACTATTTTTTGTTTTCAGTCAAATGTTTTGCTCAGAATAGGGGCGTGGCTATGGGGGCTAAATATGCCCCTAGCTTGGCTAACCTCTTTATGGCCAAATGGGGGGATGATGTTATCTATCTCCATGGTAGGCCTGAGCTGTCCTTGTGGACCAGGTCCATAGATAACATCCTCCTCTTCTGTAATAGTAGCTTGGAGTCTTTGAAATTGTTTCTGGAGTCATTAAATAATAATGACAGGGGTATAGTATTGAATTATGAAGCTGGTCAGAATGACATTCATTTTCTTGATTTGAAAATTACGGTTGATGGGGGCAGTTTAATACTTGTACATACTTCAAAACCACAGACTGAAATTCCTTTATCACTCATGATAGTTGCCACCACCGTTCTTGGCTGAATTCAGTACCACACAGCTAATTCATGCATTTGAAACGCAATAGTACCAAGGTGGAAGAGTTCTGGTTACAAGCTGAGGTTTTGAAAAACAGATTTTTATAAATAGGGTATGATGTAGAATTTTTGGAAACGGCAGTCTCTTCTGTCAAGAATATGGACAGAGGAGAGTTATTAGTTGAAAGACCTAGAGTAAAAGTGTGTGTGGGGGGGGGGGGGGAGTGAAGCGTTTTCTCTACCCTTCATTACTACAAACTCCACACAACATTACTCAATTAAAAAATTACTTAAAAAACACTGGCACATTCTACAGAATGACAGGGTTTTAGGACCAGTGTTATCGGCGAGACTCCAGGTTGTGTACTTGGAAGTCCCCTTTTAAAGGCATCGTTTAGCGCCTAATGTCTTGGATCCCCCTAATAGGACTTTATCTTTTTTTTCATAAGCTGACAGGTTATTTTAGATGTGGGAAGTGCACAGTGTGTGCTATTAATGGTTTCAGAGAGAGAACGGTTAATTCCTTCATCTCTACTGCTACCTCTCAGGTGTTTTCATAAAACCGTTTATCACCTGTGCGGCTTTTGGTGTTGTCTATATGTTGTAATGCCCGTGTGGCCTCCAATATGTGGGCAGGATCAGGCAGACCTTGCATGTCTGCTTGGGCGACCATACAGGCAATATCAAAAGAGGCTTCAAAGGCCACTCTGTTCCTAAACATTGTACAGTTGCACATAATGAACAGTCTGGTACCATTTTTTTTTGGGCATTGACAAATTTATTCCTCATTGGAGAGGGAGTGCCACTAGAAGAGAAATCCCAAAATTAGAAAGCAAATGGATTTTTAATGTAAAATCTCTTACACCACATGGGTTAAAGGTGGACTGGGATGTAAATGCATTTATAGATAATGTCCAGAATAACTGACATCTCATTCCTGTTTTTATGCAATTTAATTTTATTTTTTATTGGTAATGAGTTTTTATTTTTTATATATGTGCATTATTTCATTTTTGGGATGAACTCCTTTTGAGCTGTTGATTTAATTATATTGGACTAAAGTTTTTCTAGGTCTAATCCTTTTGTTGTCCACTAGATGGCCACAGGTATTGTGTATCCTCAGTTACAAAACATAAAGTTTAACTTGAGGCTTGGTTAAGTTTGTTTATCTATTGAAGTATTTACACTGAGGTTTAGTTGCTTCCTGGAATAGATTACCATCATTTCCTGATTGAGATTAGTAATAAATGTAAACTGAGGTTTGGACACCTAGGAAACATGGTATACATGCAGCTCAGAACGAGGCTTGGTTTTAGTCTTTGGAGAATATAGACCTGATGATTCAGCACAATGCCTGTGCTCCAGGCAACATCACAAATAATGAAACACGCAGGGCGGAGCCACATGCTGACGTCATGTTCCTATGTTCCTGGAAGTGTGGGCAGTCTGTATACTTTGCCTGCAAGGAGAATTGTTATTGCACTATTTTTAATTGGAACACTGTAAGTGTAATTTTAGCCTTCAATAAATAGTCTAAGCAGGTTTTACGCTATGGGAGTACTTTGTCCTTTCTGAGTCATATAGCGTCCTCTTTCACCATTGATACATGAGGGCTCTTATAACCTTTCTTTTATTAGAACGTCCCCCTAGGTCCACTACAGTCCATAAGTTTGCATTTCCATTATTCAGGTGGCAGTCTTCACTTCACTATTAATTGAGGAATATGGTGATGGACTTTTACCTTTAATTATATGGACACTTGGAAATATCTTTATGAACTTTATGCTACCTTTTGCTAATTTTATTATGCACTATTATGTTCACTGTTTGTAATGTGATTTGCAACATGTATACACTTCCTGACTGGTGAAGCAGATGTAACAAGCTGATTGCACTGATATCAACATGATGATGTCACACTGGGTGGGTTCCCAAACTGGCGGGATTTCTTCTGAGGTTATCTCTATCTTCTGATGAAGTCCCACCCAAGGACACAACACAGTAAGTTGGAAACCCGCCTAGTAAGAGATCATCACATTGGTATCATCACAACCCACTGGAAGTTGGATGAACAGCAGTGTTTCCATAGCAGAGGAGATTAACAATTTAAAAGCGATTTATTTGTGTATTCTGGTATGTTTTTTAAAATGTGGTTTTATTAATAAAATTATGTCTTTCTCTCTGTGTCTAACTGAGGGAGAGATGTTCCATGTGGGGGAATCAGTTGACCAAGAATCCTGATTGAAACCATCTGTGATCAATACTGTGGTAGACAATATAAACTGGCAAGTGTATGGGGTGTTGCTTTTGAGGAGTTATTTGGAATTGAGGCCTTTTGACCTCCTATAGCATAGAAGTTTCAGTTCGGGTGAGAAAAATAGAAGAGCGCTCTGTGGCAGTGAAGGAATGGTAGTGTAACTTTTGGTTCACGTTTTTTCTTTTCACAGAAGAAGTGATATCTGTTTCACTGTTGTTTTTTTACACATGGCAGTGTGTGGTGGACAGTGCCATCTAATGTACATTGGATATTTTGTATATATGAATGGTGTTCATACACTTATGGCCACTTTATTAGGTACACCTTGATAGTACCAAGAAAATATCCCACACATCATTACACCACCAGCCTAAACCGTTGATACAAGGCAGGATGGATCCATGCTTCTGATGTTGCAGCAACCAGTCTGCCCATTCTCCTCTGACCTCAACAAGGCATTCTCGTCTACACAGCTGCCACTCACTGGATATTTTCTCTTTTTTGGACCATTCTCTGTAAACCCTAGAGATGGTTGTGCGTGAAAATTCCAGAAGATCAGCAGTTTTTTAAATACTCAGACCAGCTCATCTGGCACCAACAACCATGCCACGTTCAAAGCCACTTAAATCCCCTTTCTTCCCCATTCTGATGCTCGGTTTGACTTTCAGCAAGTCATCTTCACCACATCTACAAATCTAAATGCATTCTACCACATATCTATCACATATCTAGTGCTAGAAAACTTTTTTTAGAATATGGGATTTCTTCAGGGTAATATATTTTTGTATTTTAATTTATTCTGCTCACTCAACTTAGGAGAGATTGTTATGGCACAGAATACACAAGACTAGGTAAACATTACTACACTATTCTCTTCTAGTAATAATCAATTGGACCTTTAAAGCGACCAGGCTATGGACCTTTAAAGCAGTAGTAAAAAACAAAAAAAAATGGGCCCCTAGGCAAATTAGGTCATAATGTGCTTACATACTAGCACATTATGACAGACTTACCTGAAAATAAACCTCTCCAGCAGAGAGCTGTCACCGCTGTAGGCCCTTCCATCTTCACATGGTCTCCCTCCTGATTTGTGAGCTTCGGCCGAGCCTCGATGACATCATTCCCATGGATGCCTATGGGAGTATGGCCATGGCACAGAGTTCTGAATGGACAGAACAGTACGTTTAGAGCACAGTGCACATGTCAGTGATGTCACTGCTTGCAGCTTAAGTAAATATCTCCTAAACTGTGCATGGTTAGGAGATATTTACTGTACCTATAGGAAAGCCTTATTATAGGCTTACCAATAGGAAAAAAAAACTCAACCACGTGTATTTTGTGGACTGTTAAGCACAACCAGGTAGCACAAATGAGCAGCTAGTTCTTCCTGCAAGGTCCGCTGGCAGCAGATTTACAGCTCTCCAGAACACTG